TGGCATCCTTCTGTAAAGAAGAGCTTCTCCCTTCTCCCCTTTCTCCACCCCCCCCCCTTTCTTTTGAGACAGAGTCTCACTGAGTCACTCTGGGTAGAGTGCTGTCGCATCATCATAGCTCACAGCAACCTCAAACTCCTCGGCTCAAGCGATCCTCCTGCCTCAGCCTCCTGAGTAGCTGGGACTACAGAGGTGCGCCATAATGCCCAGTTAGTTTCCCTATTTTTTGTAGAGATGGACTCTTGCTCTTGCTCGGGATGGTTTCCTCAGCTCAAGCAAGCCTCCCTCCTCAGCCTCCCAGAGCTCTAGGATTACAGGCATGAGCCACCATGCCCGGCCCCTTTCTCCCTTTTGTGGGGTGTTTCTATGGGCTTATTGAATCCATTTTTCTTTACTTCAATTTATATTACCATCATATTATTATTATCTTTAGCGCTCCATTTATTCCTAATTTTGCCAGTGGGTGCCCCTTCAAGAAGAATCCTGTGTTCCTTTAACATGATCCCATTAGTCTTTAAGCACTTGGCTTACCTTGTGCTTTCTTTCTCCCGACCTGTAATTAGCAGTTTCCCCAATGAGCCCCTGACTGTGAGGGTTGGGTCCTAGTCATGCCCAGTGCTCCCATTCTTTTTTAAATAGACAGAGCTATTCAATTCAAAGGCAGCTTATGAGTTCTGCTAGAAACTGGTATCTTATTCTTAGGTCATATATTATAGACGGTATATTAATTCAGGAACAATAGCAATTCTAGGTAACAGAATGGCAGCAATGAATTTCCTAGGAATTGCTTGCACTGCACAAATCAGTTACCATTTGCCTGTAACATGAAGATTTGCTGAATCTTTCAGTGGAAAATAAACTGAATAAATATAGGGACAGATTCTTAAATGTAGATTTTCAAAATAAATTATGGTACTTAATTCATTTATAGTGTAGAATGTCATAAAATAATTTTGAGCGCTGGGCAGATCCTTTGCCAGCTTACCTATATATCCTCAGTCCTAAAAGTGGGATCCGGAGATCTCTGGGTGTCTTGGAGACATTTTCAGGGAGTCTGAGAGGTTATAACTATTTTCATGATAATTCTAAGATGTTATTTTCTTTTCCACCGTCATGATATTTACACAGATGGTGAGAAACAATGGTATGTAAAACTGCTGGCACTTGAGCATAGATGAAAGCAGCAGCATCAAACTGTAGCAGTCATCGTGGTTCTTCAACACCATAACTTGCAGGGAAAAAAGTCAGTTTTACTTAAGAAATCCTAGATGAAGCAGTAAAAATTGTTAATTTTATTAACTATCGACCCCCTCGTACGTGTCTTCTCAATATGTATGAATCAGCATGATGAAAAGCAAATATACATAAAGCACTAGTGAAAAGTGATGGCATCTCAGAATGAAAGTACTTTTGTGATTGGTTGAGTTGAAAACTGAGCAAGCAACTTTCTAGTGGAATTCCATGTCGCTTGACAGAAAGCCTGACATATAAATTGTGGTTTCTCAGATATGGGTATTTGGCAGACATTTTCCAAAAAATGCATGGAATGAGGCATCACTCAATTAAAAGAACTGACAATATTTATTGTCATGATACATTCTGAGTTTTTAAATAATTAGAATTTTAGAAAATTTGTGTCTGCCTGCAAGCTTGTCAACTTCCTGGTACTTCACAAGGCTTTTCTGGCAAGACTGTTGGTAATATTAGCAAATATCCTTTTTCAATATTGTGTAACGAAAATGTGTCAACATTTGAAAGATCTGTGTTCTCAGTGAATCAATATTTTTCAAATGAACAATGCACGGTATTACAAAATCTCATATGGGTAAGCAATCCCTTCAAATTGCAAGACAGACTAAAGGATTTTACAAAAAGATCACTGATATTGTTTTAATGTCGCTTAGATATTAAAGATCTAGCATCTGTAGAGTCTGTAATAAAATGTAAACAGTCCTAAAAGGGGATTTTTTTTACAATTCTAGTTTTCTCCAGTTTGTCTACACGATAGTAAGGATAAATTGACAGTCATGGTCAAGCTTCAGTGCTTGTTAGATTATTTGTCTCAACAGAGCAACCAACACTTTGTTAGGTTTCACGAAAGCCAAAAACCATAGAGTATAGCTAGTTTCTCAAATGAGTATCTCAGGGTTCATTCATGACCTGAGACATGATATTCACATATGCACACACTTTGATGATTGTGCCTAGGGATGTGTGCAGCTCCAAGGGTTGTGTAGCATCATTTCTTTTTCTACTATTGAAAAAAAGCATAGCGAAATACAAGTGAGAGGAATAGAGAATAAACTTGTATCCATTTTAATTGACTTAAAATATAAGTTAACACTTGAAGATCGTTTCCTAACAATGAATACTAACAATCTGCTCTCCAATGACTTATGCAGTTACTCAAACTTTGTGTGAGTCAATTGTTTAAAACCTAGGGTCATTATATATAT